CCTGAAATCTGGTAATGTGATCCCTCCTACTTTGTTCTTCTTTTTCAAGATTGTTGTGGCTATTCGAGGTTTTTTTTTTGGTTCCATATGAACTTTTGAAGTATTTGTTCTAGTTCTGTGAAGTATGTCGTTGGTATTTTGATGGGGATTGCATTGAATCTATAGATTGCTTTGGGTAGTATGGACATTTTAATGATGTTAATTCTTCCAATCCATGAACAGGGTATGTGCTTCCACTTTTTTATATCTTCCTCAATTTCTTTTTTCAATGACCTGTAGTTTTCTACAAATAGGTCCTTTACTTCTTTGGTTAAGTTTATTTCTAGGTATCTTAATTTTTTTTGCTGCAATGGTAAATGGAATTGTTTTCTTAGTTTCTCTTTCTGTGAGTTCATCATAGGTGTATAAGAATGCCATCGATTTCTTGATGTTAATTTTGTATCCTGCTACTTTGCCAAATTAATTTATTAAGTCAAGTAGATTTTCAATGGAGTCTTTAGTGTTTCCTATGTACAATATCATGTCATCTGCAAATAATAACAGTTTCACTTCCTCCTTTCCAATTTGGATCCCTTTTATTTTTTCTTCCTGTCTGATTGCTGTTGCTAAGACTTCCAGTATTATGTTAAATAAGAGTGGTAAATGTGAACATCCCTGCCTTGTTCCTGTTCTTAAGAAAAATGCTTTTCGTTTTTGCCTATTGAATATGACGTTGGCTGTAGGTTTTTCATATATGGCCTTTATTATGTCAGGATATGATCCCTCTATGCCCACATTGCTGAGCGTTTTTATCAGAAATGGGTGCTGAATTTTGTTGAATGCTTTTTCAGTGTCTATTGATATGATCATGTGGTTTTTATCTTTCATTTTGTTTATGTGGTGTATCACATTTATTGATTTGCAAATATTGTACCATCCTTGCATCCCTGGGATGAATCCCACTTGGTCACGGTGAATAATTTTTTTAATGTATTGCTGGATCCGATTTGCTTGTATTTTGTTAAGGATTTTGGTATCTCTGTTTATCAGAGATATTGGCCTGTAGTTTCCTTTTTTTGTAGTGTCTTTTTCTGGTTTTGGAATTAGAATCATACTCATAAAATGAGTATGGAAGTCTTCCTTCTTCTTGAATTTTTTGAAATAGTTTGAGCAGAATGGGTGTTAGTTCTTCTTTGAATGTTCGGTAAAACTCCCCCGTGAAGCTGACCTGCTTGGTCTTTTGTTTGCTGAGAGTGTCTTGATTACATCTTCAATCTCCTAGGTTCTTATTGGTCTGTTCATGTTTTCTACCGTTTCCCGTTCCAGTTTTGGGAGACCATGTGTTTCTAGAAATTTGTCCATTTTGCATACATTGTCGAATTTGTTGCCATATAATTATTCATAGTACTTGTTAATGGTCCTTTGTATTTATTTCTGTGCTGTCAGTTGTTACTTCTCCTCTTTCATTTCTGATTTTGTGTATTTGGTTCTCTCTCTTTGTTTCTTGGTGAGTCTAGCTAAGGGTCCATTATCTTTTCGGAAAACCAGCTCTTCATTTCATTGATCCTTTGAATTGTTTTTTTGGTCTCTATGTCATTTATTTTTGCTCTGATCTCTACTATAGTCTTCCTTTTACTTGCTCTGGGGTTTTCTTTTTGTTTGCTTTCTAGTTCTTTTTCTTTTTTTGTACATACCCCTAGTGGGAACTGAACCCGGAACTCTATGGTCAGCAGGCCAACGCTCCAACCACTGAGCCAAACTGGCCAGGGTACTTTCTAGTTCTTTAAGTTGTGAGGTTAGAGAGTCTATTAGAAATTTTTCTTGTTTCTTGAGAATGGCCTGTAGTGCTATGAACTTCCCTCTCAGAACTGCATGCACTGCATCCCATAGATTTTGTGTTGTTGCGTGTTCATTTTCATTGGTTTCCAGGAAGTTTTTAATCTCTTCCTTGATCTCCTTGGTAACCCATTCATTGTTTAATAACATGCTATTTAGCCTCCATGTGTTCAAATGTCTTTGCATGTTCTTGTTGCAATTGATTTCTAGTTTCATACCATTGTGATCTGAGAAGATGCTTGATATGATTTCAATCTTCTTGAACTTGTAGAGATATAGTTTGTGTCCTAACATGTGGTCTATGTTTTAGAATATCCCATGTGCTCTTGAGGAGATTGTGAATTCTCTAGTTTTGGAATATAATTCTCTGTAGATATCTATTAAATTTATTTGGTCTAGTGCTTCATTAGTGTCTCCTTGCTAATATTTTGTCTAGAGGATCTATCCAGTGATGTCAGTGGAGTGTTGAAGTCCCCTGCTATGATTGTATTGCTATCAATTTCTCCTTTGAAGTCCTCCAGAAGATTTTAAATATATTTTGGTGCTCCTATATTGGGTGCATATATGTTTAACAAGGTTATATCTTCCTGTTAAATAGATTGTTTCAATATTATGTAGTGACCTTCTTTGTCTCTAGTTATGGCCTTCATTTTGAAATCTATTTTATCAGATGTGAGTATTGCTACCCCAGCTTTTTTTTCCTTTCTGTTTGCTTGGAAGAAATTTTCCATCGCTTCACTTTCAATCTATGTGAGTCTTTTGTTGTAAGGTGAGTCTCTTGTAAACAGCATATATGTGAGTCATGCTTTCTTATCCAATCAGCTACTCTGTGTCTTTTTATCCGAGCATTCAATCCATTTACATTTAAGGTGATAATTGATATGTACTTATTTATTGCCATTTTTGTTTAGTGTGGTTACATTTTTCTTCCTATTCTACTAATTACAGCAGTCCTTTTAACATTTCTTGCAGTGCTGGTTTGGTGCTAATGTATTCCCTTAGTCTTTTTTTTTTTTTTTTTTTTTTTAAATCTGGGAAGCTCTTTCTTTGACCTTGTATTTTGAATGATAGCCTTGCTGGATAGAGTAGTTTTGGATTCAGATCCTTGTTTTTCATGACCTTGATTACTTCATGCCACTCCCTTCTGGCCTGTAGTGTTTCTGTTGAGAAGTCAGCTGAGAGCCTTATGGGGGTCCTTTGTAGTTAACCTGTTGCTTATCTCTTGATGCCTTTAGGATTCTCTCTTTGTCTTTAATTTTTGGCGTTTTAATTACTCTGTGTCTTGGTGTGGGCCTGTTTGGGTTCTTCTTACTTGGGGCTCTCTGTGCTTCTTGAACTTGAATACCTTCTTCCGTCACCAAGTTAGGAAAATTTTCTGTTACTAGTTCTTCAAATATATTCTCTAACCCTCGCTCATTTTCTTCTTCTTTGGGAACTTCTATGATGCAAATGTTATTACGTTCCCAGTTGTCCCACAGTTTTCTTAAGCTGTCTTTCTGTTTTTAAGTTGTTTTTTTCTTTTGGTTTTCTGATTGGTTGATTTTTTTCTACCCTGTCTTCTAATTCACTGATCCAGTCCTCAGCTTCCTCTACTCTACTGTTTAGTCCTTCCAATGTGTTCTTTATTTCCACTGTGTCATTCTTCATTTCTTCTTGGTGATTTTTCATTTCCAATTGGTTGATTTTCAATGTTTCTAAGTCTTTACTCATGGTGTTGATGTCCTTACTCATGCTGATGAGCTTCCTCAAGATCATGGCTTTGAATTCTACCTCTGATAACTTGCTTAACTGCATTTCATTTATCTCATCTTCAGTAGAGGTCTCTTGTTCTTTCATTTGGAATGTGTTTCTTTGTCTCACCATTTTGGCTTTCTCAGTGGGTTTTGGAGCCTGCCAAATTTTCCCTGTCATGTTGGTGTTCTGGGGTTTGTGGCTCCCCCTACTGGGTTTGGATGAGCATGGGGGGACCCACATTAAACACCACTGTCAAGTCTTACTTTCCTGGGTAGATTTGAAAGCCCAGGAATGGTTCAGTTATTTTCTAGCTTTTTGCCTGGAGGCTATTAGTCATGCTTACTTGAATAGCCTTGGTTTCTCAGTTGAATAAAAGACTCCTCAGGTATTTCACATATGAGGATTTCCCAAGGGTGGGGCATATGCTGGTTGTTAATGGGTCTCAATTTGCATTTCATTGGCCCACCTCAGTGGGGTTGAATCTCAGAGGGAGGGGCTGCTGCCTCTCCCTAGAGTCTTGGGAAGGAGTATGATGGCCACAGTCCTGTGTGGCTGCAACTCAGCAAAAGCTCTGAGCACCCTTTAAATCCTGAGTGTCCCCATACAGTTCCAGTCCTGTCCATTTTCCTTCTGCCACAGCCCAAGATGAGTGTTTTTGGCTATTTTAGCACTCTGTCCTGGCCCTCTGTGCTGTGGAGCAAGCTTGGGATTTTAACCAGGAGGGTGCTGCTCACAGCTAAGACTGCTGCTGTCTGTGGGCTCCCAGCCACCCTCTTGTACCTCCGCAATCCTACCAGGATCGATTCAGTGTCCCTGGTTATAGGGTCCTCGCAAGCTGCTTTTCTGTTGTTTTTTTCCCCCAATGATTTGTCTTTATTTTTGTTGTAATTTCAGTTTGGTCCTGGGAGATGGTCTGTGTAGCTTCCACTCACTCTGCCACCACTTTGGAATCTCGGGCTCACCTACCTTTTAGATTTTCTTCCATAACTCCCCAGGCTACTGAAGTACATTTGGGAAGGGCATAGAGCAGATGATTCTCCTTCTGTCATTTTTCTTCCTCCTTTCTCTCCTTTGTATTCCTCTTTTTGTTTCTTCTATTTCCTGCTGACATTATTCCTGGTGAAAAGCAGGTGGGAGGAAAAAATGGGGAGTTGAAGTGGTCACAAGTTCTTAGTCCACATTCTTTTGTTTTCCATTTCAGGCCTTGAAAAAACGATGCTACTTCTCCACCCAAATAAAAAGCACTTCCAAACACCCAAGTGGGTTATGAATATCATAGACTATCAGTCCATGTGCTATGCGTTAGCTAGAAGTTTTTGCATTTTGTGAGTTTTATGTTCACTTCCAAACACCCAAGTGGGTTATGAATATCATAGACTATCAGTCCATGTGCTATGCATTAGCTAGAAGTTTTTGCATTTTGTGAGTTTTATGTTCCTAGGAGCCAAGGCATGGTGATCCTGCCCTGGGAAAACCAAACAGCAATAGTGGAATTTGTTCTTAGAGGATTTTCTTTGACTCAACAGTTAAATATTTTTCTCTTTATGATGTTTTTCATTTTCTACATCTTAATCGTTTCTGGAAACACCCTCATTGTCTTGCTAGTTTTGTTCAGTCATAATCTTCATACCCCTATGTACTTCTTTCTGGTGAACTTGTCCTTTCTGGAGATCTGGTATACCTCCAACATTGTCCCCAAGATGTTACTGATTATCATAGCTGACCAGAAGACTATCTCTGTGGCTGGATGCCTGGCACAGTTCTACTTCTTTGGATCCCTGGCTTCAACAGAGTGTCTCTTGCTTGCTGTGATGTCCTATGACCGCTACCTGGCCATCTGTCAGCCTCTACGCTATCCCATCCTCATGACTGGTCCCCTCTGCATTCGGCTGGCTGCCAGCTCTTGGCTCTGCTGCTTCCTCCTGACAGCAATCACTATGGTCCTACTGTCTAGACTAACCTTCTGTGGACCCAATGAAATCGATCACTTCTTTTGTGACTTTACTCCTCTGGTTCATCTCTCTTGCATGGACACCTCACTGACTGAGACCATTGCTTATGCCACCTCTTCTGCAGTGACTCTGGTCCCATTTCTCCTCATCACAGCTTCTTACACCTGCATTCTTGCTGCTATCCTGAGAATCCCATCTGGCACAGGCCGGCAAAAGGCCTTCTCCACCTGCTCCTCCCACCTCACCATAGTCACAGTGTTTTATGGGACACTGATTGCCACATACCTTGTGCCCTCATCCAATTCATCCCAACTTTTGCGCAAAGGGTCCTCTCTGCTCTACACCATCCTGACGCCCATCTTCAACCCCATCATCTACAGCCTGAGAAACAGAGACATTCATGAAGCCCTGAAAAACTGCTTAAGTAAGAAGCCAGGTTCCCTCAGGTGAAGCAAAAGGAGAAAGAGCTGTATTTGTCCAAGGTCTGATAAACTGGATTAATCCATTTAGATTCTACCTAAAAGGCAACTACCTAAACCAGGAGCTCCCAAATCCAGATGACCAGATCCCTCTGAGTATGGCTGATGACACTGTTGAGTTCTGGCAACTTTGGGTGAACTGATGTCCCAGAAATGGTCTAAGTAGGTCATATTCTGCTCCATCATCCTAGGTGGACCTGAATCCTTGAGTCAAAGCTCACATCCAAATGAGCTGATAAAGCTGGTTACTTACTCATTCAAATATTCATTGGGATTTTACTATGTCCAGTGTATTGTACCACATCTAAGTAACAAAAACAGAGGCAGTCTGTTATATACTCACAGTATATAAGGGGTAGAAAACAAATCAAATAACTAATGTGAAACTATACACACACACACACACACACACACACATATGTGCACGCACACACACACATAAAATTATACTTGTAATTCAAAATTTAAAATAATGAGATGACCGCTACACACTTATTAGAATGACCAAAATCCAGAGCACTGGCAACACTAAGTGCTGGCAAGGACGAGGAGCAAGAGGAGCTCATTGGTTGCTGGTGGGAATGGTACGGACATTTTGGAAGACAGTTTGTAAGTTTCTTATAAAACTAAACATACTTTGACCATATGTACTCCTTGGTCTTTACCCAAATGAGCTAAAAACTTATGTCTACACAAAAACTACACATGGATGTTTATAACAACTTTATTCATAATAGCCAAAACTTAGAAGCAACCAAGATGTTCTTTAGTAGATGAATGGAAAAATAAACTGGTACATCCAGATAATGAAATATTATTCAGGGCTAAAAAGAAATGAGCTTTTAGGTCATAAAAAGACATAGAGGACACTTAAATGCATTTTACTAAATGAAAGAAGCCAATATGAAAAGGCCACATACCATATGGTCTCAACTATATGACATTTTGGAAAAGGCAAAACTATGGAGACAGTGAAAGATCAGCGGTGGCCAGAGGCTAGGGTTTGGGGGAAGATAAATAGGCAGAGCACAGAGGATGTTTAGGGCAGTAAAACTACTCTGTATGATATGATCAGGGTGGATACATGTTATTATACATTTGTCAAAGCCCATGGAAAGCACAGCACCAAGAGTGAAACCTACAGTGAACTATGGACTTCGGGTGACTACAATGTATCAGTGTAAATTCAGTGATTGTAACGGATGTACCACTCTGGTGGGGAATGTTGATAGTGGGGGAGGCTATGCAAGTGTGGGGGGCAGAGAGTATGTGGGGAAACTCTACTTTCCACTCAATTTTGCTGAGATCCTAAAACTACTTTAAAAAATAAACTTATTTAAAAATAATAATAATTATAAGATCAAGAATTTGGATCTTCAGTCCCTTCCTCTGGAGCAGATGTGGCATTTTCTAATCCTTTGCACTCTAGGCCTGGATGTGAGAGATAAAGACTCAGGGAAATAAGGGGGGTAAAGGGCCCACATCAACATCTGCAGAGCTCTGTCTCCCCTGCTGTGATGGGGGGCAGACGCAGTTGGCAGCTGGGGCTTCATTTTTATTCAGTGCCACCTCCTTCTGCCAGGCTCTCTGCCAGGATCTTGCCTGGACTCGCTCCCTGTGCTGCTGGCACAGGGCGTGGTGGGCATGTGTTTGTTCTTTGTGCAACTCTGAAGAGCTGAGTTAACTTCAGAGTAGAGAAGCTGAGGTCAGCATCACACTCTTGGATGCTGCCTGCCTCCTTGCCTGGCTCCTACAAAGTATGCTCTCCCAGTGCCAAGGATAGGGTTATCTCTTGCCTAAACTTTTCTATTGACTATTCTTCTCCTCCTTCTCTCCCTCCCCCTCCCCCCTCTCCTTCTCCCTCCCTTCCCCCTCTCTTCTCCTTCTCCCTCCCCTCCTTCTCCTCCTCCTCTTCCTCCTTCTCTCCTCCTGCTTCTCCTCTTCCTCCCCTCCCCCATTCATGGGGTTTACTCAAAACCCTGGCTGGGAAACAACACACGCTGTACTGGGTGTCTGCAAACACTCTCAGGCTTTGCCTTATGAAGAGACAATTGCCCTGTGCTTGCTCCTCTTGGAAACTAGGAAAATACCGTGAGATCATCTTATGGTACCCCGGTGAAGTAAAAGTCAGCTCTCAGTTATCTGCCGGTGACTCACCTGTGGCAAGTGTTCACATCTGATTAGCTCTGGGGGAACTGGGTAGCTGGATAGGACAGCAGGTGTTTGTGTCATGGGCAAGTTTAAAATTCAGGCGCGGCCATTTTCTAGCAGTGTGCTTTGGGCAAGTTACCTTACCTCACTGAGCTGGGCCTTTGTTGTCTGCAGAGGAGGAATGTCTTGTCATCTTGCTGCCACTATGTGGGGACAGGGACAGCGCAATCTGCCCACAGGATGAGCTCCATCAAGAGCAGTTCTTATAACTCTGCTTCTAAGTTCCATTTTCTGCACCAAATTCCGGCCAAACTATCGTGTAGCAGGAGTTCCTGTTTTATGTTACAAAGTAATAAATATTCAGAACGTTTAAGGTACAGAGAAAATGTATGAATTACCTAGTTTACCTTCTTTCGCAGAGAGGGAAGTGATCCCCTGGGGGATTAGGTGGACTTTCCCTGGTTCATTATAAAACAAAGACTAGAATCTGGCACTTCCATTCCTGAGTCCAGGTCTCTGTCCCCTTTACCACACCACCTGCCTACTCAGTGGCTTTTCTCTTTGCCCAGGGACACACAAGGAACTCCCCTTGGATATGCCAGGATTATGTGTAGAATCACTGTTTTGTTATACTCCCAGGAGGGAGTATAGTGGGTCATGGAACATGCCAGAGCTGTTGACATCCCCTGGCAGCCTCAAGTGCCACATTGAACCTCCTGCAAGCTCACAGACTCCAATTGGTGATAATGCGTCAGGATGTGTGTGGCCAGCACAGCTGGAGCTGGGAGAAACACTCCCCTACTGTTCCTTCTGCCAGAAGCCACAATTCCAGCCTCCCAAAGGGAAGAGGAGCTGCTGGGTGCAGCTCTGGCTTCTTACTTCTATTGAGATGAAGCAATAGAAACAAAGCCTGGACTTTATCCCCTCCCCACCGTCTCTTCTGGGGATTGTCAGTCTGTACCCCACTTCCATGTCTCTGGGACTACCCCATTCCTCAGACTGTTATGTTAATTATATTCCACAAATAAGTGAGATCCAATCATATGATACTTGTCTTTCTCTGTTTGGCTTGTTTTGCTTAGGATAATACTTTCCAGGTCCCTCCATGTCGTCTCAATGGATAAGAGATCTTTCTTTCTTACAGCTGCATAGTACTCCATTGTGTATATGTGGACAACAAAGCTGGGGACAGGGCAGGAGAGAGGGAAGGGGGGATCTGTGGAGGGAAAAGGAAAAACATCTGTAACAAAAATTAATTAATTGAAAATAAACAAATAAATAAAAAAGAAAGAAACAAAGCTTGGGGGCTCTCTGTCCAAGTTAGTGAGTTTGCAGGACTGGAGAAGCCACACCCGGGCCCACAACTGAAATTAAATCCCAACACTGCAAAGAACCCAGGGGTCAAGCCACCTGGACCAGTGGTTTTCTCTTCTTCGAGTTGGACAAAGCTGCCTAAGAAGCCACCAAAGAGGGGAAGAGGGTGAGCAGCCTCTGAGCCCCACCGTTGTGCTCCCTGCACAGTTCCGCATTTATCTATCGTGTTTATTGCTGTTCTATTTAAAATTATATTTGAATAAAGACTTTTGCTGCTTTTGCTGCTATATATGTAGGCACAAACAAACACATATGTTTTATTTTAAGTAGACCTTTTATTATAGCGTCCCTTAGTTTTCTTACTGGGAATCGAAACAGTGACCTTTTGGTGCACAGGACGACGCTCAACCAATGGAGCCACCCGGCCAGGGTGTAATGATGCTATTTTTTTCTTTTTTTTTTTAATCTTCACCCAAGGACACTTTTTTCTCTTCAGATAGAACGGGAGGGAGAAAAAGAGGAAGAGAGAGAGAAACATCGACTGGTTGCCACCCGCAAGACCCTAACTGGGGCGGGGGACAAAGTGCAACCGAGGTACGTGCCCTTAGTGGGAACTGAACCTGGGACTCTCTGGTTTGCAGGCCGACGCTCTAACTGCTGGGCCGAACTAGCCAGGGCTAGTGATGCTATTTCTAAAGAATGTCTTTAATTTTCAGTGGGGAGGTCATGTTATCTTTCCTATCATCGCTGCCCAGTTTAACATTCCAAAGGTTTGAGGAGCAAGACGTGCAGGGCAGCTCCTCTGGGTGTCAGCTCCAGCTCCATGTTAAAGTGGTTCCCTTTAGCCCTGGCCGGTTTGGCTCAGCGATTAGAGCATCGGCCTGTGGTCCAGAGAGACCCGGGTTCAGTTCCCACTACGGGCACGTATCTTGGTTGCAGTTTGTCCCCGGCCCTGGTTGGGTCGTGTGGGTGGAAGCCACTCAATGTGTCTCTTTCACGTCAATGTTTCTCTTTCTCCCTCCTACACTATCTGAACAAAAAAAAAAAAAAAAAGAAAAAAAAATGTCCTCAGATGAGGATAAAAAAAAAGTAAAGTGGCTCCCTTTATATGGTTTCTACGTTACTACTAATGAACCAAAGCCAAGAGGTTGAGCTCTGCTTTGTATCCCACAGCTAACAGAGAGAAAGCTGGGACTGAAACGCAGATCTCTGGGATCTACATCTCGGGCTCCCTCTATTAACCCAGTCATTTCTACCCGTGCCCTCGGATTGTGCCTTGGGGTTTACCGCCAACACTGCCCTTGCATAAGGACAGTCAGCTTCTGAGACAGCAGTTGGGTAATGGTGGCCCAATCAAACTGGAGATAAGCGATTTCTCAGAATACAGCCGAAGGGAGGGTGGGAAGGCAGAGTGGCTTAACACATTCCTAAGTCTCAGTCCTAGAAAACTTTTAAAATACTGACTCTTAGATTGCAGTCCGGTTTCAGTCTACCTGAGTGGGAAACCGGTGGCGGAGCCAGACAAACTCATTCTTACACAGATCCACGGCTGATTCTGAGGCACTACCTTGACTGAGAAACTCTGTCCTTTTCTAGACCAAAAAGAAAAAAAAAAAAAGCCCCAATCATCCAAGCACCCAGTGTGCTCACAGATTAGGGCCTGAGCCTGCTCGAGCTTTCCTGTGTTTCATAGAAACCATTTTAGGTATTCGGGCAGGTCGTGGGAGCGAGCTTCTGAAAGCCACATGGGCCGGTTAGCATCTCTGAGTGGAAGAGGGCGGACCCGGCCTCACTTCCTCTTGCACTTCATCTGGGCTTCCTGTCATCACAGTGTGATGACATCTAGTCCTCCTTCACTTCTCCTTTTACACAAATAGCCCCGGATATCCTTGTTACCAGCCCCGTCGCAGCCACCTAGGGTAATCATCAATTCTGCCTAGAGGACTGAGGAAAAGCACCTGCAAAAGGTAAGATCAGGACATTTTCATCTGGGCTGAGTGCAGAGACCTGAACCAGGTAAAGTGGGCTAGGGTATCTTCTTAGGAGTCCCCATAAACCTCTCTAGTCACCCTAAAATCTCTTCCTATTCACAGATATTATGAAGGAAGTAAAAAGATCAGCAAGATCGTAGTAACCCTCAAAAGGCAAGCCAGTCAGACAGACTTTTGATTAACTAGGTTCCCGTTACCTGATGCCGCTTTGGGCCAGGGTCTTCTGTGCTTAAACTGCTTCTGAGCTTGACTTTCTGTGTGTGGTCATTTCTGTTGCCTGGGGCCCTCTGCGCGGAATGCAGCGGGGAGAGTTCCTACAAGCTCTGGTCTTTAGAAGGCTGCTCTTGTGATTTTCAAGTGAGGAGAGAACCAAGAGCCAGAGACATTTATTTTATTTAATTTTTTTTCTTTATTGATTTTAGAGAGAAAGGAAGTGAGAGGGACAGAGAGATGGAAACATTGATGAGAGAAAACATCAATTGGCTGCCTCCTGCTTGCCCCCCACTGGGGATCGGTCACACAGCCTGGGTATGTGTCCTGACCAGGAATCGAACTGGCAACCTCTTTTAAAAAGCTATGTTGTTTTTTTCTTTTTATTGATGTTAGAGAGAGAGAGGAAAGGAGAAGGAGAGAGATAGAAACATCGATGAGAGAGATATTTGGCCACCTCCTGCATGCCCCCCACTCGGTATTGGGCCCACAACCTGGGTATGTGCCCTGACCAAGAATCAAACCAGGGACCTCTTGGTGCTGAGTCAATGCTCAGTCACTGTGCCAAACCTGGCCAGACTAGCCAGAGCCATTTAGAAAGGCAACTGAGAGAGCAGGTCCTCTACATGTGAGAACATACATACACATACATACGTACGTACGTACGTACGTTTGTTTGTTTGTTTGTTTGTTTATTTATTTATTTATTTATTATTCTCCTCACCAGGGGACATCCTCAGATAGAGAGAGAGGAAGAGAGAGAAACATCCATGTGAGAGAGACACATCAACTGGTTGCCACCCACATGACCCCAACCAGGGCCAGGGACAAACTGCAACCAAGGTACATGCCCTTAGTGGGAACCGAACCCGGGACTCTCTGGTCTGCGGGCCTATGCTCTAACCACTGAGCACAACCAGTCATGGTGTGAGAAAATTTCAAAAGTAAAGTTAGTGACTCTTACTGTGAGTCCTCAGAGCCACTAAATAAAAGGACTGCTACAAACCACAACACCCAGCTCAGTCAGGAACACAGGACGTGCTTGGCACCTGTATTTCACAAGCCGAAAGGTAGACATCTCTAAGGGATACTTGGATTGGTTGTTTTCAAATGGCAGGCAGGGCATTCTGATCCTCAGAGTTCCAACAAATAAATCCTTCGTGTACAAAACATAAATATGGATAAATATGACATGCACCAGCCAATGAAACTTGATATGGCAATGATTCCTAATCCACACCCCATGACTAATATTTGGGGTCTCAGGTACTCAGACAGTCACAACCAAGCTTTGGTCTTGGCTTTCTGTGAACAGCATACTGGCTTGGGATCAGGTCACCAAAGGGAACTTTAACTTAGAACATTGTCCTTCCAGGATCTGCAAGAATTTCTCCTGGAGGGAGAGGAAGTTACCTACGACCACAACCATTCACCTAAAAGTGAGGGGTGGGAATTTGGCAGAAGGCTCTAGATTCCCAAAGCACCTCAGGGCTACTGAATCTTGAGTTTAAAAATAAAGACTAGACTTTTTAACAAAGTCAATGTGCCTTAATAATCAGGAGCTAAGCACCCTCTGGGGCCAGGCACTGTGCTCTGGAAGATGCCGGTGGGGAAGGGGCAGGCTGGCAAGGTAGAAGGATATTTGTCCAGCAGATCATCCTGGCCCTTAAGGAGTTCCTGTAGGAGATAAGGGATATTAGATATGTATGCAAGTTCTTTATTTTATTGGTGATACGTGCCTCTACGGGAACCGAACCCAGGACTCTCTGGTCCGCAGGCTGACGCTCAACCGCTGAGCCAAGCTGGCCAGGGTGTATGCAAGTTCTTTAGAAGAAAGTTGAGCAAAAGCAGAATCTTAGCTGTTGGCTACACAAAGAAGTTTTGCTTTCTCAATTTCTGCCAGAATCTGAACTGTTTTGAAATTGCGGTTGAATTGAAGCAGAGGCTGAGCTAAAACTTGATTTCCTGTGGTGTTTCCTGTGTGGGTCGGTTAACAATATTTAGCCTTTAAATGAAAGGATGGGGCACCTTTATTCCCACAGGGAACAATTCAAAGTCCATCTCTTTACAACCACCTAAGGGACTTCATCTTTGGGAACTGATGGGAGGCACCATGTAGGAAGGTCAAGCTCTGTAGTCTTTAGTTTCTTATGTCCTCAGATTGACCTCTGACTAATCAGAGGGCTTCGGATTTCAGACCCGAGGCCTGTTCCGCTTCCTCACGCCCAGCGGCCAGGCACTGTGCTCAGTGCTAGAGACGAGGATAACCGACATGGTTCTCAAATTCACAGCGTTCGTGGAGTCTAGCATGGAGGACAGACACAAACACAACACACAAGCACAACACAATGTGATCTTTTCTACAATAAATGGGACGGTGTGCACAAAATGTAGGCATTTAGGAGCATGCCCAAGACTCCCTGGGAGGGGGCTGACTGTTTTCAAAGTATGAGTCTGCTACAGAGTCTGGGGTAATGGCATATTCCAGACAGAACACAGTATGTGCCAACTCCAAGACGTGTGAGCACCCAGGTATGTTAGAAAGGAGAGCAAGCAAGACTGAAATGTAACAAGCCATGGCTACAGGACCACAGGAAGTGGAAATCCCTTTCTCTTACTGGGATTCTAGAGTCCCAGCCTTGAAAGTGGAAGGCAAGATCTCTAACCAAGCGGGTCCTTGGCCTAGCCCTACATGGGCTACACCTGAGATGTCCCCTACATGGCGGAATTGATGGCACATGGGCGGAAATGAGGGTGAAGCTATTTTCCTCCTTGACCTAGATTTTGCGCTCTATTAGAGTGAAGGATGGAACTTTGTGCAAGGTTACAGCCACTTTCTCTCTCAGCCTCTGTGCCAGGAAATGCTGTGTTGATTCAGTTCTGGTGGTTTGGTTTATGCTCCTACATTGGTCAGTCCATAAGCACTTCCTATACTGAGGGAGTGTCTGACATATGCAGATCATCCGGGCCTAGAGCCTGGGCGCTCGCCCTCGGGAAACTCCAAGACCCAGCTGCCGCTGCAGGTGCAGAGCACTGAAGCAAAGTCACGTACAGAAACTAGACAGCTGTGCAGAGGGGCCTCCAGGGTGGGCACAGGAGCAGAGGATGGCAGCTGGAGCTTGGGTGGTCAGTTTGGCAGGCTGTGGGAAAACTGCAGGTGACACATTTCCAATGCCAGTGGGTGAGCTCAGAGGAAGGCCGTGTGCCTGTGTGTTGGGACAGAGGCAAGGCCTCTCTTCATTCCCCATTTCACCAGCAGCAGCAGCAGTGCATCTTACGTATTGGCCAAGATTGTTGTAAAGACGCCACAGGGATACATTTCTAGAATTATTTAAAATAAGGGTCTTCCATTCCATGTATTAGAATGTTTATTACTTAAAGAGAACTTAGAGATTGTTTAGGTTCATATAAAGCATCCAACTCAAAGTGAAAGCACAATTCATATTTGCTATTATAATATTCTAATCAATTTACTTTTCAGTTAAGGTGACTTGTCCAAAGTCATAAAATTACTTAACTATTTAGAATATTTCTTTTTTAAAAAATTTATTTATTTATTTTTGTTACGGATGTTTTTCCTTTTCCCCCCACTGATTCCCCCCTTTCTCTCCCTCCCCGCCCTGTCCCCAGCTTTGTTGTCCATGTCCATTGTTCATGCACACATGCATATAAGTTCTGTGGTTTATCTCTTCCCCACCCCCCTCTTCTGGGGTTTGTCAGTCCTATTTAGAATATTTCTTGATTATCCATGGAATGCTCTTTCCTCTACACAGTACTCCCTTTTCTTACAGGCTTCTTATTAAATAGGCATCATTAGACTGCATTCCTTGCTCGCATAAAGACATTTCCAGTGCATTTTAACATAAACAAAATAAAAATATAACTTAATTGCAAACCAAATTGTTTTGAAATCAATATATTTAATACCATATAGTTAATATTTAATTTGTCAAATTTTTGTTAGACATTTTCTATCTCAGAACTAGTTGAGGAATAGGGGGAGAGATGATTTTGACACCTCACTTCTTTTGAAATTTGTTCAAGTAAATTTGAACTCATGGCTTAACATTCACTCTATATCATGAGAATATAGAGGCATTAAAGAATTATTCCAGCTCTGGCCGGTTTGGCTCAGCGGTTAGAGTGTCTGCCTGCAGTCCAGAGAGACCTGGGTTTGGTTCCTGCTAAGGGCGCGTACCTCCGTTGCAGTTTGTCCCCGGCCCTGGTTGGGTCATGCAGGTGGCAGCCACTCAATGTGTCCCTTCACGTCCATGTTTCTCTCCCTCTCTCTTCCTCTCTCTCCCTCTTCCTCTCTCTCCCTCCCACTCTACGGGAACAAAATGTCCTTGGGTGAAGATAAACAACAAAAAAAGAGAGAATTATTCCATAGTTTGTTCTTCTAAAGAAGTTCCTGGGGTAGAATCTTAGTCTTTTATACCCTCTGGGACTTAAGTCGTCATGATTTTGAAATCAGAATCCCTTAGATTATTTACTCATGTTCAACTCTTTTTCTTCAACTTTCGACAAATATCCAGGCTTACAGAAAATTTATAAAAATAGCACCAAGAATTCCTGAACCCCCTTCATCCAGATTTTCCAAATATTAACATTTTGTCACATTTCTTTATTTTTCTCTGGCTTTCTTATTTGAGAATGATTGTTTACATGATCTCCTTCCTCCCATGTGTTTTGGTGTATATTTTCTACAAACAAAAACATTCTCTTACATAACTACATTATAGTGATCAAGAAATCAACACTGATACAGTGTTACTAATAATCGACAGATGTTGTTCAGGTTCTACCATTGGCTCATTAACATTCCTTTTGTTTTTGGAACATGCCCCTAGCAGGAACCAAACCCAGGACTCTCTGGTCCGCAGGCCAACGCTCCAAACCCTGAACCAAACCAACCCGGACCCATTAACATTCTTTATAGCAAAAGGAAATCACTGATTATACGTTGCCTTTTAACTGTCAAGTCTCTAGTTTCCTTTTATCTAGAATAGTTCCTGAATCTTTCTTGGTATTTCATGACATTGCAATTCGTTCCCAGTACAAACAAGTTATTTTCTAGAATATTCCTCTATTTGGATTTGTCTGATGTTTCCTCATGTCTAGATTCTGATTATTCAAACTTTTCATAGAAATGCCACAGAGTGGGCTTTCATTATCTCAGAAGGAGACTTGCCTACACTGGACACAGCCTGTGTGTACAATGGACAGGCCTCTCAGACAGGAACCTTGCACCACAAACCTCCATATTTTTAGGGTGAGAAAGAGCAACTCTAGTCTCCTGACTCTGTAATGGTGGTAGTTGTTCCTGATTAGCGTGGCCTTGTTGTAAAGGTCCCTGTCTCAGCTCAGTTGCTAGTAGCAGCTGTGATTCTCTATTGAGCTATTATCTTGCTAAGCTTCCAAATGGAAGGAAATGAGCCTCCAAGATCATCTGTTTGAGGGACATGTATTGACATAAATATCACAGTCTGTGTAGCACCAAAGCTGTCTTGCTGTGACTCCAGTCTGGTCTCTAAAATTAGATCACATAAGACTGGAGATCAAGGATAGATCGTTTCTTCTTTTTTTAAAAATAGCATGATTTTTAAAAATATGTTTTTATTGATTTTTTAGAGAGAGCTAGAAAAATCGATATGAGAGAGGAACTTCAATTGGCTGCCTCCTGCAAGCCCCTATTGGGGATTGAACTCACAACCCCAGTATGTGCCCTGACTGGGAATCAAACCAGGACCTCTCAGTCCATGAGATGACGCTCAATCCACTGAGCCACACTGGTTGGGCAAAGATGGATGGTTTCTTGAAGCTTTCTGTCCAACCTTAGCCACTGCTAAACTGGATTAAATCAAGATTGCAGCAGATGGAACAAATTCTGGTCAAAGAAAAGAAAGAGTGTGAGCTAAAAACCCACAAGACATTTTACCTGCTCAAGCTCTTCCCATGGAGGTAACTTCATCTGTGGTCTCCACGCTGGGCTGTGGGAGGTGACCACAGCTAACTGCCGTTCAATCACGGAGGTTTCCTGGAAGCTGACATCAGGGAATTTCTTAACAGAGCCATGAGTCATGGGGCTGGGTGTGGCAACTATGGCTGTAGAGGGCGTGGGACCTCCAAGCAGTGGGGTTGGTAGGTGTGAAGGGGTGGGAGCTCAACAACTGGCCAGTGGCAGTGAAGAGAGGAAAGGGGGAATACAGCGGTGTTGTCTCTGGGTTCACATGGAAACTGGGACCATCACTGCCAGTGGTAAAAGTAGTCACAATCTTCACCAAACGGGCAGTTTTTCTCCTTCAATTCGGGTGAGTCTGAGTAAGTGGAAAATTAGGGAAGGAGAGAGAAGAGGTTCTTCTTCCTGTCTGTGAAGGAAGGAATCAGTGGGGTATTCCCAGGTTTGTGGGCACCTCCTTAGTTGGTACTCTGTGGACAATTGGATGGCAAGCACCTGAAGCAGTCGTCACAGGACCCCAGTTTGTTGGGGAGGAGGTGACTCCAGGAGGCATCTGGCCCCGTCCCCTTTTGAGTAAATTATTTGCCCATGTCTAGAAGATAAGTTTATTGGCAGAATAAATGTCAAACCCAAGGTTCCTGATACTGCAATTTCAAATAACACCAAATTATTTAGGGTTAATGAGCAAAATTCCAGTCATTTGTTCATTCAGCAGTCTTACTTTGTTTTGTTTTTGGATTTTTTAGAGTAATCAGTTACTGTGTTAGGCCTTGAGACTTCAAAAGTAAACAAACTAGCCCTGGCCGGTTTGGCTCAGCGGTTGGAGTGTTGGCCTGTGGACCAGAGAGTCCCGGGTTCGGTTCCTGCTAGGGGCATGTACCAAAAAAAAAAAAAAAAGTAGACAAACTAGCTCCTACCCTCAAGGAGCTCACGTTCTAGTGACAGAAGAGAGAGTTACAAAACAAAGTGCTTAGGACAATAACAGAGATGCACAGTTACAGGCTCTCCTTGTGCGGAATGGGCATTGGGCACCAAGAATTGGACAATTTTAGAAAATGTCAGAGCAGGCTTCCCGCAAGGGTGACAATACTTGACCTGAGTCTCAGGATGATTAATAGCTAACCAAACTGAGGGGTTGGAGAGATAGAAAGTGGCAAATTCCAGGAAACCACATGAGCAAAGGCCAGGAAGAAGGCGTTGTGACCAGTCGTCAAGGTTGCTTGTTAGATTTTAGGGTATAAGACAGGGACTGTTGCCAGGAGTTTGGAGAGATGGACAAGTACAAATCAGGAGGGTCTTTGACATGAGTATACATGCCTACAACCATCCCTACGGTCCAGATGACAACATTCATCACTTCCAAGAGAATACTTATGGTCCTTCATAATCCCTTTCTCCTGCCCTTCCTTACTCCCCACTACTTATTCCTCCCCAGTCTTCTTTACCCCATCTCCAAGCAATTATTCATCTGCTTTTTGTTGCTATAGGTTAATTTTCATTTTCTAAAATTGTATGTAATTGAAATTACTGAGTAGGTATTTTTTTTTGTCTAGCTTCTTTCACTCACCATAATTATTTTTGAGATTCATCTATGCTGTAGTATGTATCAGCAGGTATTTCTTTTTCACTCCCAAGTAGTACACCATTGTATAGTTATACCACAGTACATGTACCTGTTCACTTATTGATGGACTTTTGGGTTGTTTCCAGGTTTCAGTTATTATAAATAAAACTGCTGTAAACATTCCTGTACAAGTATTTGTACAGACACATGTTTTTATTTTTCTTGGGTAAACACATTGGAGTAGGATGGCTAGATTATATGATAAGTGTTATGTTTCACTTTTTACAAAACTGGCAAACTGTTTTTCAACGTGGACATACCCTTCTTCATTCTCACCAATAACACAGAGAGCCCTAGTTCTACCACACCCTCACCAGCACTTGGTATGGTTAGTTGTTTTTCGTTATTTTAGTCATTCTAGGAGGAGGGCAGTGGTATGTCATTGTGGTTTTAATTTACATTTACATTTAATTTACTGCTGAGTGGAGTAGTTTTTCATTTACTTATTTGCCATCCATGTATCTCCTTTGGTGAAGTGTCTGTTCAGGTCCCTTGCCCGTTTTAAAGGGATCGTTTGCTTTCTTGCCATTGAGTTTTGAGAGCTGTCTGATGTTCAGTGTCTTGCAAGCATTCATTTTATACTTTGTACCTTTTTTGGTTGTTTTACATGAGAGAGTTTCACTTTCCATGATTTCAGTTACCTGTGGTCAACCACAGTCTGAAAATATTAAATGGAAAAATTCCAGAAACGAACAATTCATAAGTTTTAAGATGCATGCTGTTCTGGTAGCATCCCACTCTGTCCGCCTGGGGTGTGAATCACCCCTGTCCAGCCCACTCACGCTGTACACGCTACCTGCCTACGAGTCTCTTAGCAGGCATCGCACGAGCAGATCGACTGCCGCAGTATCGTAGTGCTCGTGTCTGAGTAACCCTAACGCTGCATCACGAGGCCCACGCCGTTCGCCTCACTTCAGCCCTCCTGCAGGCGCTGTGTCCTCTCACATTATCACAAAAAGGAGGAGGATGAACACAGTATAATTAAGGTATTTTCAGAGAGAGACCACGTTAGCATAACTTTTATTACAGTTTATTGTTATCATTGTTCTATTTTGTTATCGTCAGTCTCCTACTGTGCCTATTTTAAGTTAAACTTTATCATAGATATGGATGTATAGAAGAAAAAATAGTATATGTAAAGTTTGGTACTATCTGGGGTCTCAGACATCCACTGTGATTCTTGGAACATATCCCCTGAGAATAAAGGGGGACCACTATGTATATATCTCTGAATACATAAATAATCTAATGAACTTTATTTTAACTTGGTTAAAGTAATGATGAGGAATAAGAATAATTTTGATGGTCAAGACAAGAAGAAAAGATAAAAGGACAAAGGCAAGGAAAAGGAAAACAGTATGGAGTAGATATAAGTATTTGGTCTTTTCAATGGAGAAGATGACTCTTGTGGAACAGAAGGAGCTCAGCAGGCTTATCCACAGCCTGTATGAACCATGCCCCAAGGCCATCTGATTTCAGAGCACCTTGACATTGCAAAGAGGGTACAATGGATTGTACAAGCCATCTGTGCACCAGAAAAGGCATAGTTCTAATGGGGGAAAAAACACACAAAAAGATGACATTGTTTTATATATCAGTCTCATGTGTAGTTTAAAAATATGAGTTAGTCTATGAACCCCATGACCTCTGAGAGAAATTAAAAATTGTGTATCTGGATCTCTAGACTTGAGGACCAGACTTTGGAAAATGATGTCCTCATTAAGGAAAAAAAATCTATTTTTTAAAAGTTCAAGTTTGGATTGTTGTCTTCCTTCATTTCTCTATTGGATAGTTGCTGGCCAGTTTTAGCTCTGCTGGAAGACCGACGGCTTCTGAAGGGTAGCTACTGCTTAGTCACCGTTGCCTGTCCCACAGCATCTTAGAACAGAAAACACCGTAAATGCCTTCAGTAAAAGAATAAGTGAGGCACAAGTATGTTCCCCCACTTCCACGTGGAGAGGCTTTTGACTGTATGTAGTGTATAGGTGCACCTTAGGGCACTTACGGGACTGGCTGATCAAGGCACCGGCCATATCCATAACTGATTGATCAGCCTAACCCTAATCCTGACACCAGGGCTGCCTTCTTGAGTAAATGCCCAGGCACTGGTCCCTGGGCATGGCCTTAGTGTGTGTCACTGTGACTCACCTTCCTCTAAGAATGGCTCTATTGCTTACTTCTAGAGTGCTTAATTCAATGTTAAGCATCCTTGGCTTGCTGAATTGGAGCAAAAGTTAGGTCCAAGATGAGCCAATTGGTACCTCAGTCCAGAGACTAAAAGAGCAGGGAGTTTGGGGAAACTTTCCAGAGAAGAGTCACAGCTCAAACCCAAGGTAATGCTAGAGATCCTTGAACCCTGAAATTTGTACCCTCTGATCTTTGGAACCACCTTGCAGAACCAGGTCACTTACATCCTGTTTATTTTCTTCCACTTTTTAGTGCAAGTATATCCCAAAATGGGCATGAGTACCTTGAAATTGCTGAAGTATGTCCTGTTTTTCTTCAACTTGATATTTTGGGTAAGTGAGTCTCTTCTGAGCATGGCTGAGCTCACCTCCCGCAGGTGTGCTCTACTTCTCTTTCTACTGAAGGGCATTGTGTGGAGTGGATTCATGCACCCCTGGGTCATGTGCAGTCTACCTAGCCTAAGAAGAAGGGAATGATACCTTCCTCCTCTCTCCACATCCTGCTACAGTGTAACTTTGCAAAATTGAAAGGTACCAGTGCAGTTATTTATGGGGATGTTGTTTCTCTCTCTGGGGACATTAGGCTATTGCAGCTCACTGCTGACATCTTTGTGTGAGAAACCTGAGGCTCTGGACTCTGTGTATTGAGTACCTCTTTTTCCCTAGTTTTTGTGTGCCCCCTGGATGTCTTAGAATAGCTGATTGGAAGGGAAGCCACCTTTTTTGGGGAGGTTTCACTGTACCAATTTAGCAATAGAATTCAGGTATAGGGTGAATTGGTACTCGTGCTTCTATGAGAACATTCTTAGAAGTTGGCTTCTCCAGTTTTCTGCCTAGCAAGATAAACTTCTAGAACAGGGCCTCCCCTCCACAAGCTTGTGGTTTCCAAAGAGAAGACCATGTGTAAGCAGTTGAGGGCAAGGAGTAGGGATCTGAAGCATGAAAATACTGTGTTTATCACAGCAGTGAGCTTCCCCTGGTATCTGATATGGGTAGGACATCACAGGAGGAAGCGGGGACCACCTCCTTTCTAGGTGCATGGGCGAAGCTGGGTAAAGAGGTTGTTCATCAGAGTCCTGATAGAGCCAATGGAAAAAGGTGATTTTAATCTCAAGTAAGTGAGAATGAGGAGATCTTCAAGAACTATGTTTTATCTCAGAATGTGGGATTCTTTCTTTCAGTTCTGCGGCTGCTGCATTTTGGGCTTTGGGGTATACTTCCTGGTCCACAACAACTTCGGGGCTCTCTTTCATAACCTCCCCTCCCTCACGCTGGGCAACGTGCTTGTCATCGTGGGCTCCATCATCATGGTGGTTGCTTTCCTGGGGTGCATGGGCTCCATCAAGGAGAACAAGTGCCTGCTTATGTCGGTGAGTCTCTTGCAGATGTGGTGCCCTAAGGGGTCAGGGGGAGGGAGACATAATGACCTACGGCCCAGGCCAGATGTTATTTGGCAGCTCACATGTGGGCACAGGATAGTCAGAGGAACATAAGATTGGCACCTCAGAAACATAAAATTGGCATCTGCCTAAATCCTCACACCAGGCTATATTTTCAGAGTCACTAACTAATGGAAAACCTAGTCTCTGGATTCTTCTGAGTGCGGTGGCCCTCCTAAAATGGCAGCGATGCTTCCCTATCCCATATCTGCACAAGATATGGCCCAGTGTGCGTGACCTGGTTTAGGTGAGGGCCTCGGCTGCGGCCACTGAGGTCCAACAGGAGGGATGCCAGAGCTTTGCAGTTGTCCCTGTTCTGCTAACTACCCTGAGAAGCACCTTTAAGCTTAGGTTTTGACTCTACGCCCTATGAAAGAAGAGCCCTGTTTCTCTGTGTGCCCACAACACAGCTTAGTATGGGTTCCCAGTCACCTTGTTCTTCCTTAAGTCATTTGGTTCCTCTTTCCCTTATGGGTCAATCTTAAACTGGAGTCAAGAGATAGGATAAGAGAGTCCCTTTTCTCAGATGGGTCCCAGACTAATGGCAAAGGATGGGAGATAACAGGCATGGGAAAATGGTTTTAAGGTAGTTAAAATTCATGTTGGGGTAAAAAGGTAAAGGAGAAGGAATAAGTGAAAATATGTTTTCCGTTGTGTATGAGTAACATAAAGGGAGTAGGCATCTGAAGTTGGAGATGAATATAAATTAGAACCATGGTTAGAGGTTCTAATTCACATTCTCCCCTTCTGTACAAAATAGCACTCCTCTTGCAGAAAGGACCAGGCTGCAAACTCAAAAGACGCTGGTCTTTTGCTCAACTGTTTTTTCAAAAATATGTTTTATTGATTTTTTAGAGAGAGAGGAATGGTGAGAGAGATAGAGACATGGATGTGAGAGAGAAACATCAATCGGCTGCACACCCTCTACTGGGGATCGAGCCTGCAACCCAGGCACGTGTCCTGACTGGGAATTGAATCAGGACCTCTTAGTCCATGGGATGGCACTCAATCCACTGAGACACACCAGCTGGGCTGCTCAACTGTTTTGATAGGCTAATTCCAAAATTGTTTCATTCCAAAATCAATGTTTCATTGATTTAATAAATGGTATTGCATGTACATGATACACATGGAGCTGGATAGATACATGGGAAGAAAAGAACAGCTGATCTGCTCTTTAGTGTCTTGGAGTCTAGTTGTAGAAAAGAATACATATCCCTCACAGAGCAAGAGAAGGCTTGTGAAGGCCTAAGAAGGCAGGACAAGAACCTCCTGCATATGTGCAGGACGTGACTGGCTGCTCCCAGGATGCAGTGGGAATAGGGGAAGAACTGGGGTCCGTGCTGTGAACATGTCTCTGCTTTGCCCCAGTTCTTTGTCCTGCTGCTGATCATCCTCCTTGCTGAGGTGACCTTGGCCATCCTGCTCTTCGTGTATGAACAGAAGGTAAGTCATACAGAACCCAGCTCATTTTCATATTGTGGAGAATGGGGAGTGGGCCATGGTGAAGAAGTTGGCACCAAATAAGTCCTACAGTTAGAGGTAGAAGTAAAGTGGAACGATGGAGGAAAGCGAGTGATTGTAATTGGGGAGATAAAAACTTTTATGAAGTGTATTGGACTCGTGCGATTCTTTGAATGATAAGTGGGGAGAACAGTAAAAGCAAGTTTATCTCTCTCCTACTTACTTTTCTCCAGGTGTTTGGCAATACAGAATATCTGTCTTGGTGCCTAAGACAGCCCAGGCTTTGACTGTCCCCTTTCCTCCTTTGTAAAACCAGTTCTGGAAACACAAGAGACCACTGCAGGCCTCTTCCTTCAATGCCACCTCACCCGCACACTTCCTTCTGTGTAAACACACGTCAGAATGTCCCTCCTTCCCTTCCTTAGCTCTGAGGAGACCATTTGGAAGGGAGGAGCAAATGGGACCACTCACCTATACTAGGAATTTCTTGTTCCTTGAACTCACCTGCTTTTTACAATGTCTCCCCTGCTGGCATGTGGCTGCACAGCTGAATGAGTCTGTGCATGAGGGCCTGGCCGAGAGCATCCAGCGCTATCACTCGGACAACAGCACCAAGGCGGCGTGGGACTCCATCCAGCAATTTGTGAGTACAGATGGAATCCTTCCCAGCTCAACCTTGACTTAATTTTTCAACCTCAGTCCCAGGAGGCTAAAAGAGACTTCCTTTCCTTTCTGATTGGTACCAAGTTGTCTATAGTCTCTCTTTCATCCTTCACCAATTCATATAGGCTCAAAGTTTAAGCCCTACTAAGGAAGACCCAAATATGTCATACTAGATTAGTCTGTGTATTTTCCAAAATTTCTCTAAAAACAGAAATTACATAACACAAGAAATCTCTTTTGAATTCCTGAGTAGCCCAAATCCTGCTTGATACCTAGCAGACCAGCACCCCATTCCTCATGCCCCCTCCCCACCCACAAACATATATATTAACTATGCATCCCTGCCTTGGTGTGTTGGAAGATAAAGAAGGGTCAGGGAGCCAGCCTGGCACTGGCACAGTCTGTGTCACAGACAACCCCACTGTGATGCCACGGAGCCACCTGTGGCTCTGCCGTGCTGCTCAGAGTGGAGAAGAAACAGCACAGGAATTAGAGCCAGACCAGGATTACGTGGCCTTGGGAAAGTCACTGAACCTCTCTGAATCCCCAATTCTTTTAATTTTTCAATTCAATTTAGAAGCATCTTTATTATAGAGTTTTCTGACATATATAAATATAAACAGAATAATAGCAAAATGGATCTCTGGGTACATATCACCCAGCTTCAACAGTTAATATTTTGCCAAGGTTTCAGCTAATCTACTGTACTTTTTTGCTAGAATATATTAAAGCAAATACTAGATGTTATATCATCTCATCTGCTAAATATAAAGATAATAACCTCCTTTATTAAGAACTTCATTTTAATTTATTTAATTAACTAATTTTTAATTAATTAATTTATTTTTGTTAAGATGTTTCTCCTTTTTCCCCCACTGACACCCCCCCTGCCCTATCCCCAGCTTTGTTGTCCATGTCCATTGTTCATGCATACATGCATATAAGTCCTGTGTTTTATCCCTCCTCCCCCAACCCCTCTTCTGGGGATTGTCAGTCTGTACCCTACTTCCATGTCTCTGGGACAATCCCATTCCTCAGACTGTTATGTTCATTATATTCCACAAATAAGTGAGATCATGTGATAGTTGTCTTTCTCTCCTTGGCTTGTTTTGCTTAGGATAACACTCTCCATGTTGTCTCAAAGGATAAGAGATCTTTCTTTCTTACAGCTGCATAGTACTCCATTGTGTATATGTACGACCACTTTTTTATCCATTCGTCTACTGATGGACACTTGGGCTGTTTTCAGATCTTAGCTATTGTAAATAATGCTGCTATTAACATGGGGGTACATAAATTCGTTCTGATTGGTGTTTCAGGCTTTTTAGGGTATATTCCTAGAAGTGGGATTACTGGGTCAAATGGCAGTTCAATTTTTAATTTTTTGAGGTAACACCATATTGTTTTCCATAGTGGCTGCATTCCCACCAGCAGTGTACTAGAGTCCCCTTTTCTCCACACCCTCGCCAAGACTTGTTCTTTGATGATTTGTTGATGGGGGCCATTCTGACAGGTGTGAGGTAATACCTCATTGTTGTTTCAATTTGCATCTCTCTGATGATTAGTGATGTTGAGCATTTCTTCATATGTCTCTTAGCCATTTGTATGTCCTGTTTGGAGAGGTGTCTATTTAGTTCCTCTGCCCATTTTTTTTTTTTTTTTTTTTATTTATTTTTTTTTATCCTCACTCGAGGACATTTTTCCATTTTTTGTTCAGATAGAGCGGGAGGGAGAGAGAGGAAGAGAGAGAGAGAGAAACATCGATGTGAAGGGACACATCGAGTGGCTGCCACCCGCACGACCAACCAGGGCCGGGGACAAACTGCAACCGAGGTACGTGCCCTTAGCGGGAACCGAACCCGGGTCTCTCTGTACCCCTCTGCCCATTTTTTAATTGGGTTCTTTGTCTTCCTTTTGTTGAGCTGTATGAGCACTATATTGAAAATTAACCCCTTATCTGATGTATCATTGGCAATTACGCTGTCCCATACGGTGGGTTCCCTTTCCACTTTGGTGGTTGTTTCTTTTGCTGTGCAGAAGCTTTTTAGTTTGATGTAGTCCCATGTGTTCATTTTCTCCTTTGTTTCTGTTGCCTTAGGTGATGTATCAGTGAAAATTCTGCTGCATATGATGTCCAAAATTATGTTGCCTACATTTCTTTTAGGATTTTTATGGATTCATGAGTCACATTTAAGTCTTTTATCCATTTTGAGTTTATTCTTGTGTATGGTGTAAGTTGATGGTCTACTTTCATTTTTTTTTTTTTTTTTTGCATGTAGGTGTCCAATTTTCCCAACACCATTTATTAAAGAGGCTGTCTTTACTCCACTCTATGCTCTTGCCCCTTTGTCAAATATTAATTGAGCATATTGTCTTGGGTTCATTTCTGGGTTCTCTATTCTGTTCCATTGATCTATCTGCCTGTTCTTGTGCCAGTACCTGGCTGTTTTGATTACAGTGGCTTTGTAGTATAACCTGAAATCTGGTAATGTGATCCCTCCTACTTTGTTCTTCTTTTTCAAGATTGCTGTGGCTATTTGGGGTCTTTTTTGGTTCCATATGAACCTTTAAAGTATTTGTTCTAGTTCTGTGAAATATGTCGTTGGTATTTTGATTGGGATTGCATTGAATCTATAGATTGCTTTGGGTAGTATGGACATTTTAATGATGTTCATTCTTCCAATCCGTGAACAAGGTATGTGCTTCCACTTTTTTATATCCTCGTCTATTTCTTTTTTCAATGACCTATAGTTTTCTGCGAATAGGTCCTTTATTTCTTTGGTTAAATTTATTCCTAGGTATCTTAATTTTTTTGCTGTGATGGTAAATGGGATTGTTTTTTTAGTTTCCCTATCTGTGAGTTCATCATTGGTGTATAAGAATGCCGTCGATTTCTTGATGTTAATTTTGTATCCTGCTACTTTGCCAAATTCATTTATTAAGTCTAGTATATTTTTGATGGAGTCTTTGGGGTTTTCTACGTATAGTATCACGTCATCTGCAAATAATGACAGTTTCACTTCCTCCCTTCCAATTTGGATCCTTTTTATTTTTTATTCCTGTCTGATTGCTATGGCTAAGACATTCAGTACTATGTTAAATAAGAGTGGCAAAAGTGGGCATCCTTGTTTTGTTCCTATTCTTAAGAAATATGCTGTTAATTTTTGCCATTGAGTACGATGGTGGCTGTAGGTCTTCCAAATATGGCCTTTATTATGTCGAGATATGATCCCTCTAGTCCCAGATTGCTGAGCGTTTTTATCAGAAATGGATACTGGATTTGTCTAATGCTTTTTCAGCATCTATTGATATGATCATATGATTTTTATCTTTCATTTTGTTTATGTGGTGTAACATATTTATTGATTTGCGAATATTGCACCAGCCTTGCATCCCTGAGATAAATCCCACTTGGTCATGGTGAAGAATTTTTTTGATGTATTGCTGGATCTGATTTGCTAATATTCTGTTCAGGATTTTGGCATCTATGTTCATCAGGGATATTGGCCTGTAGTTTTCTTTCTTTGTAGTGTCTTTTTTTGGTTTTGGAATTAGAATAATGCTGGCCTCATAAAACGAGTTTGGAAATCTTCTTTTTTCTTGAATGGGTATTAGTTCTTCTTTGAATGTTCAGTAAAATTCTTCCATGAAGCCCTCTGGGCCTGGGCTTTTGTTTGCTGGGAGAGTCTTGATTACATCTTCAATTTCTTTTCTTGCTATTGGTCTGTTCAAGTTTTCTATCTCTTCCCAGTTCCTCTTTGGAAGACTATGTGTTTCTAGAAATTTGTCCATTTTGCTTAGATTGTCGAATTTGTTGCCATATAATTGTTCATAATATTTATTAATGATCCTTTGTATTTCTGTGGTATCAGTTATGATTTCTCATCTTTTTTGATTTTGTATATTTGGGTTCTCTCTCTTTGTTTCTTGGTGAGTCTAGCTAAGGGTCCATCAATCTTGTTTATCTTTTCAAAGAACCAGCTCTTTGTTTCATTGATCCTTTGAATTGTTTTTTTGGTCTCCATGTCACTTATTTCTGTTCTGATCTTTACTATTTCCTTCCTTCTACTTGCTCTGTGGTTTTCTTTTTGTTTGCTTTCTAGTTCTTTAAGTTGTGAGGTTAGAGAGTCTTTAGAAATTTTTATTGTTTCTTGAGGTAGGCCTGTAGTGCTATAAACTTCCCTCTCAGAACTGCTTTTGCTGTATCCCATAGATTTTGTGTTGTGTGTTCATTTTCATTGGTTTCCAGGAAGTTTTTAATTTCTTCCTTATTCTCCATGGTAACCCATTCATTGTTCAATAACATGCCATTTAGCCTCCATGTTTTCAAATGTCTTTGCATGTTCTTGTTGCAATTGATTTCTATTTTCATGCCATTGTGTCTGAGATGATGCTTGATATGATTTCAGTCTTTTGGAACTTGTAGAGACTTAGTTTGTGCCCTAACATGTCATCTATCTTTGAGGGTGTCCCATGTGCACTTGAGAAGAATTGAAATCTGCAGTTTTGGAGTATAATTCTCTGTAGATATCTAACAAATCCATTTGATCTAGCACTTCATTTGGAGTCTGTGTTTTCTTGTTAATTTTTTGTCTAGATGATCTATCCAGGGATGTCTGCGGGATGTTGAAGTCCCCTGCTATGATTTTATTGCTGTCGATTTCTCCTTTGAAGTCCTCCAGAAGATTTTTAATATATGTTGGTGCTCTTATATTGGGTGCATATATGTTTACCAAGGTTAAATCTTCCTGTTGTATAATCCTTCCAATATTATGTAGTGGCCTTTTTTGTCTCTAGTTATGGTCTTCATTTTGAAATCTACTTTATCAGATATGAGTATTGCTAACCCAGCTTTTTTTCCCTATCCATTTGCTTGGAAGATTTTTTTCCATCCCTTCACTTTCAACCTATGTGAGTCTTTTGTTGTGAGGTGGGTTTCTTGTAAACAACATATATGTGAGTCATGCTTTCTTATCCAGT